TATTTCGGCACACCCCTCACACGCTTTGTGGCCCCATAGGGAGCTCCACCGAAGGCCCCAGTGCTGCCGCCCGCATGCGTCCCGCACACCCATTTCGGCACACCCCTCACGCGTTCGTGGCCCCACAGGGAGCTCCGCCGAAGGTCCCAGTGGGTGTACCCGCATGCGTCCCGCACACCCATTTCGGCATGCTCTTCACACGTTTCGTGCCGAAGGCCCCAGTGGGTGTGCCCGCATGCGTCCCGCACACCCATTTCGGCACACCCCTCACGCGTTTCGTGACCCCTCACACGTTTGGTGGTCCCATAGGGAGCTCCACCGAAGGCCCCAGTGGGTGTGCCCGCATGCGTCCCGCACACCCATGTCGGCACACCCCTCGCACGTTTCGTGGCCCCGCAAGGGGGCTCCACCGAAGGTCCCAGTGGGTGTGCTCACATGCGTCCCGCACACCCATTTCGGCACACCCCTCACACGCTTCGTGGCCCCATAGGGAGCTCCACCGAAGGTCCCAGTGGGTGTGCCCGCACGCGTCCCGCGCACCCATTTCGGCACACCCCTCACACGTTTCGTGGCCCCATAGGGAGCGCCACCGAAGAAGATATTCACAATTGCGGTATTCACAATTGCATATGGTTGGGTCCTTCGCCAGGATTTTTTTTTTTTTTTTTTTTTTTTGTTGTCTGCATTCGTTTGCCGATCGGCGCGGGTCCTCGCCCCCCCCCTTCCCTTACACCTGGAATGGATCTTGGCTGTCTCTCCTCGTAGGACGCACGGTTCCAAACAATCGCACTAAGCAAAGGTCCAGAGCCAGACCCCCCGCCCCTCTTCCGCCCAATGTCGAAACGCCGAATAAGAAAACGTGCAGTTTTTTCTCTGTTTTATCCTTCGTCGTTCTCATCCACATGTGGCCTTTCTTTCTCTGTCTTACTCTTCCCCCTTCTCTCATCGTCCTCCTCGCCGTGTGGCCCCTCCTCCTCCCGCGCCCTCCCCGTGGCGGTGCTTCATCGCAGCCCGGGGCGGTGCTGGGCGGGGTCTGCCTACCGAGGCTCCGAAACCATGCGGGGGCGGGGGGCAGAAGGGGGGAGGAAGGACTGCCGCAGAGGGACAACTCCAGGGCTCCCCGTCTCCGCGCTCCCTGCCCCGCCCGCCCCTCCTGTCTCGGGGCCAGCGCGGCCGACCTCCCTCCTCCCTCCGTGGGCGACACGGATATCCGCATCCGCGGCCTCCCGGGCCGGGGTGAGAGAAAACAGGGACCATGCCAAAGACTGAACGCGGAAACTTCGTTTCGCTCTTGGTCGCCGTCGAACTTGGTCAGCGTCAGCTCGTGGATCGTCCTCGCGGAATCGGCAACGGCCGACATGGACCACGACCAAAATGAGCATCGGCAAGATCTCGCGACATCTTGGCAATGGTCCCCGTGCTTCGCCCCTGCAGGGGAGGCGCCACGGGACCGGACGTCAGCAGCACCTCCGCTGCCAAACCCCAGCACAAAACGGCGGACCAGGGGCGCGGGGGACGCGTGCACACGGACGCCCTGCGAGCCGGAGGAGGCCGCGGCAGCAGAGGGGGAAGGATCATGAGCGGCGAACGCAGCCGCATTGTTTGCGCCCTCGCGGTCTGGATTTCGAGGCGCGATCCCGTTGGTAAGCGGTCACACGGATACTTTTTGCGCGGGGCGCCCGCGAGAAAACGCCGCGTATCCGCGGGGTCGCGGCCCAGAGGCCTGGCCCGGGAGGCCGCGGATGCGGATATCCGTGTCGCCCACGGAGGGAGGAGGGAGGTCGGCCGCGCTGGCCCCGAGACAGGAGGGGCGGGCGGGGCAGGGAGCGCGGAGACGGGGAGCCCTGGAGTTGTCCCTCTGCGGCAGTCCTTCCTCCCCCCTTCTGCCCCCCGCCCCCGCATGGTTTCGGAGCCTCGGTAGGCAGACCCCGCCCAGCACCGCCCCGGGCTGCGATGAAGCACCGCCACGGGGAGGGCGCGGGAGGAGGAGGGGCCACACGGCGAGGAGGACGATGAGAGAAGGGGGAAGAGTAAGAGACAGACGGAGAAAGGCCACCCACATGTGGATGAGAATCGACGAGGGGTAAGACAGGAAAAGGTCACCGTTCTCTTATTCGGAAAAGGGGAGCCCACGAATTGCCCCAGGCCGCTCTGACCCCTTCGAGCTTCGAGCCTCGAGGATCGACGGTCTCCGGGCCTCTCCGGGGCCCCGTCGTCGCCGCGGCGGGGCTCGCCTCCAACACTTCTGGTCCGGAGGGGTCCCCCGGGAGAGGTCCCGGGGCCGACTGCTCGACCCGTGGATCCTCGGGGGCGGAAAAGAGGGGGGTGATGACTGGGGGGGGGATTTCATGGCGCGGGCCATGATTTTTCCTCAGATCTCATGGCGCCTCTTCTTATTTTATTGCGGCCCTGGCCCCCCCGCTGGGCCGCGCACATGCCGCCGGTCATGATTTGCACCCCCCCCTCTTGGACACCCCCCTCTTTGCCGCTCCCGAGATCCGGATCCCCTCGAGCCGTGAGGAAAAACACGGCGGGAGGTTTTTTGCAGCTGTCGGCCTCGCGGGGTCCTCGCCGGGCCCCAGCGCCGTCCAAAAGCGAGTCAGGACGAGGCGCCGGTCCTGGGGAGCGGGTTCGGGCCGTAGGTCCTGGCATGTTCGTTGCGTGCTGCCGCCCTTGCATGCCCTCTCGACGTTCGCTGTCACGGCGCACTCCCCTAAGCTCTGGCGGGAATCCGCCATTGGACGTTTGGTGAGGAAGAAAACGGCTTTCAAACGCAACCGTTTTCCCGTTCGCTCCGTATTTTGTCGGCCTCACTCCGACGCCTCTTAACCTATCTTTCGGCGCGTGGCGGCATCCACGTTTTGGCGCCAGTTGTGGTAGCATGTTGTTCAGCGCTGTCTCCGTTCTGGGTCGTGTTTGACCTCTGGGGGGTTCACGTTGTTGTCGAAGGCATCATGACGTCGCCGGCGCTGGGGACGTCCGGCCTCCTGGCGCCTCCGCAGACGTCGGATACCTCCACAGGCCCCCTTTCCCCCGAGGGGGTCGGTCGGGAGAGGGGGACCACACTTGAGAGCGAGTGATCTTTCGCCAGAGGGACCGCTGGTGCGGGCCCACTGGGGTCCCCCGACCGCTGGATGCGACGCGACGGCAGCGGCTTGCGCGATTGGGTTTGGCCCGGCCCCTGGGCCACCCCGAAGCCGCGCACCAAAGGTCACTCGTGCCTCTGGCCACTCTGGCGTGTAGCGAGGCGGCGGCAATGCCCCTCGGCCGCAGGAGGGAGCAGTGAGGAGGCAGCAGGGCGAGGAGGGCTCATCCAATGCGAGGATGGGTCCTACCGCCTGCTTTGTCCGTGCCGAACCGCTATGTGTCATGCCCCGTCAATCTCGTCTTCTCCTGCTCCTGTGGCGCCTCGGGCCAATTCAAGTGACCCATGCTTGGCTACACGCAGGATTAGGCGGACCGGCAATCTGATCGGAGCCTGACAAAGCTATGCCGGACCATGCTAAAATCTAGCAGCTGCTACAGCTGCAAGTGCAGTTTTAGTTGAGCTGAACTAAACCAGGCCAAGCAAAGCTAGGCTGAACTAGGATAGGTATAGTGCAGCAGATCTCAGCGATGGAATTTTCGTCAGGCAAGGTAAGCTAGGCTGAGCCAGACCACGGGCAGCTACGCTGAGTAGAGCAAAGTGAAGCGACGCACGTTAAAGCAACGCCGACACGGCTTATCTAAGTTTGTATCAGCTAACATACAGAGGTTAGGCCAACATATGTTTTTATATATCAACTCCAGGCAGCGCCCAATATTTTCGAAAACACAAGCTAGTGGGCACACAAGCCCTCAACCCTCATTCGTACTTGCAACATCAACTCCTTCGATGATAAGCCCACCGTCAAAGTCACAGCAGTAATCCAATTCTGCACATGCTCCTGTTTCTTGCCTCCTCGGTCACATCACTTCATGCCTCCCATGAGGCAGTCGCCGCCGAGAGGTGCCAGCGTTGTCGCCCACACAAGGGCAGCGTCAGTCTCCTCGGGGCGGCGGTTCGCACATGTAGCCAGGGAGATTACTTTTTGCGCACAGGCGGCCCGGAAAATAGTGCAACCATAACTCAGGCATGGTCTCGCGGATTCTGGCAGTCATAAGCTACGAGACAGCGGTGTCCGATCCTAGCCGACGCCAGCCGTGCACCAGGCCAGCTCGGCACACACTGCCGCGCGTGCCAGCGCGCGCGGAGCCGTGCATCGGACCGATCGGACATTTGGCTTCGGACATGTGGCTGGCGTCGTCCGTGCCGACATTTGGTTGGCGTCCTCCACTTCCATTCAGCAGAGAAGAAAGAATCAGAGGGGCGCTCGGGGAAGTGGCCTTTGGGCATGGAGTCCTATGGATTCCTGGTGGTGGTTGCTCCTTTGCGCTCACGATCCATAACTCATCCCGATCGTGTTTGCGCTAATCGTGACCTACTTCTTCCGCGTCTTTTCCCTCTTCCTTTTCCTCCCTCCCATGCCAGGGTGACCTCTGCCTCCTCCTCCTGCTTTTCCTCCTCCTCCTCCTTCCTCCTCATCATCCTCATCCTCATCTTCCTCCTCCCCCTCCTCCCCCTCACCTTCCTCCTACTTGTCCTCCTCACCCTCATCTTTCTCCCCCCCCCTGGGGTCCGATACATCTCGCGCTGCGCCGCCCCACGAGATGCGAGCTGCGCCGCGCCCGTGCGCCGCCGCCGCCGCCCTGACGGAGCCCGCAAGGAGCGAAGCGCGGCCAGACTGGTCGGACACTGACTCCGCACGCTGGGTGTCAGCAACCCTGAAGGACGACGACGACGACCACGACGACCACGACGACGACGACGACGACGACGACGACGACGACGACGACGACGGCGTCGTCCGGCTCGGCGTCCGCACGTCTTCCGCACGCGGGTCCCTGAGCTCTCCGCGGGCCCCTTCCTGCACCGGCCCCTCTCCGCCGGGGGGCGGGCCGGCGGGGAGGGCGGGCGGGAGACCGGTGGCCGGAGGACAGCGGCGAGGTGGAGTTCGAGGTCAAGCAGCCGCTGCTTCCGGAGACGATGCTTGAGGCGTCCCTCGGGGCCCCGGAGACCTTCCTCTTCCTCCGCCTCCGCAGCCTCCTCCTCCGCCTCCTCCGCCTCCTCGCGCTGTGAAAAAAAGCGTGACGGAAGATCTTTTGCCCTCATCGCCTTCGGTGGGCCTTCGCCGGGCCCTGGGAGCGCCCCGTCTCGGAGCACGACTCGGGATGAAGAGCCACCCCCGGGGAAGGGGTCGAGAGACTTCTGGGCGCCAGCGCTGTGGAGGGGTCGTGGCCTCGGGGGTCCTGGGGTCTGGCCAGATCCACGCGCAGAGAGCGCACAACGGATGCTGCCTCGACCCACGGCTGCGGTTAGTTCTCCCGGGCGCGCCAGCATCAACGCTTAAGAAGTCGGGCCTGTCCCTCTGCAGGAGGAATATTCAAAGATAGTCGAAAAATGATGTGGGGACGATTTTTTGATCATTTTCTGTCTATTTTGAATTTATCTTTTTTTTTTCCTCCAACATCCGCCTGTAGGAGGACACGCCCGACCTAAATCAAGGCCTTTCGCACATAGTCCCTGTCTTCGGAGCCCTGGGTCCCTCCCCGTCCCAGGCGGCGGCCCTCGTCGCCACGGCTGGATCCGCCTCGAAACTCTGGGCTGGATACGCACCCTGCCCGAAGCCCAGAAAGCGCTCCCACCGAGGCCCACCAGGGACTCGGACCGAGCTCGGCGGGGCTCAGCTCGAGAGCTGGCGCGCGCTTCCCGGCTGCGGGCGATTACTTCCTGAGCTCGCCGCTGGCTGCCTGGGTTCGTCGGCATCCATCTTCTGTCTGGCCTCTGCTTTCCCTGGCCTCGCCGGCTCGTTCCTGGGCGAGATTTTCAAAGGATTTTGCTGGCCCGCTGGGCGAGGTTCGGCTTCTCAGGGCTTCTTCTCCTTGGGTGGCTTGGGAGTTGCTGGCGGACGAGCGAGGGTGGGGAAAGCGACCTCCAGGGTCCGTGGTAATGATGACGTTATTCTGGGGGCGGGCTCTCAGGCTCGCACATCCAGGAGGAGGGGGGTGAGGAGGACGAGGAGGGTGAGGAATCTACGATGATGACAATGATGATAACGGTGATGATGACGTTGTGTTGATGATGATGATCATGATCATGACCATGATGATGCTGATTATGATAAAAACGATGACGATGACCATGATGATGGTGATGATGATGATGATGATGGTGGTGAACCCGATGATGATGGTGATGAAAATGGTAATAGAGATGGTGATGGTGATGGTGATGGTGATGATGATGACGATGATGATGCTGGTGATGATGATGAAGATGGTGATGGTGATGATGATGACGATGATGATGGGGATGGTGATGATGACGATGATTATGACGATGATGATGGTGATGAGCATGGTAATGGTGATGGTGATGGTGATGGTGATGATGGCGTGGATGGTGATGGTGATGATGATCATCATAAACATGATGGTGATGCTGATGGTGCTGATGGTGATGCTGATGGTGATGATGGTGATGGTGACGGTGACGGTGATGATGATGACGATGATGGCGATGATGCTGATGATGACGATGATGATGATGCTGATGATGCTGATCATGATAATGATGATGATGATGATGATGATGATGATGATGATGATGATGATGATGCTGGTGATGATGATGAGGATGGTGGTGGTGAAGGTGATGGTGTTGATGTTGATGGTGATGGTGATGGTGACGGTGATAGTGATGGGGATGGTGATGATGATGACGATGATTGTGGTATGATGGTGATGATGATGCTGTTGCTGATGCTGATGATGCTGATGATGCTGATGCTGATGATGATGGTGATGATGATGATGATGGTGATGGTACAGCTGCTGCTGAGGATGATGATGATGAGGATGATGCTGATGATGATGCTTCTGATGATGATGATGCTGATACTGTTGCTGCTGCTACTGATGTTGTTGATGATGGTGGTGATGATGATGATGATCATGATGATGATGGTGATGATACTGCTGCTGCTGCTGATGATGATGATGCTGATACTGTTGATACTGTTGTTGTTATTGATGATGATGTTCACGATGCTGATTATGTTGATGATGATGGGGAAACGAGAAAGAGGACGACGCCAATGATGGATGACCATAACGATGATGACGATGCAGATGATGATGATGCTGCTGCTGATGATGATGACGTGATGATGATGACATTGATTACGGTGATGGTGGTGGTGGAGTGGAGGTGGTGGTGTTGGTAATGATGATGGTGGTTATGATGATGATGATGATGGTGGTGATGATGATGATGCAGAGACTGTTGGTACTGATGATGCTGGTAATGGTGATGCTGATGCTGATGGTGATGGTGACGGTGATGGTGCTGATGATGATGTTGATGATGTTGATGATGACGATGACGATGACAATGATGATGATGGTGGTGATGATGGTGTTGATGATGGTGATGGTGATGGTGATGATGGTTATGATGTTGATGCTGCTGATGATGATCATCATCATGCAACTGATGATGATGATGATGATGGTGATGATGGTGATGGTGATGCTGATGATGATGATGACGACGTTGTCGATGATGATGATGAGGAGGATGATGCTGATGATGCTGGTGATGATGATGATACTGATAGTGATAACGATGATGGCGATGCTGCTGATGATGACGATGATGATGATGATGATGATGGTGATGCTGATGCTGATGCTTATGGTGATGGTGTTGGTGATGGTGATCATTGTGATGACGCTGATGATGATGACGATGCTGATGATGGTGCTGGTGCTGGTGATGGTGATGGTGATGGTGATGATGGTGATGGCGATTGTGATGATGATGACGATGCTGATGATGATGATGACGATGATGATGGTGATGATGATGCTAATGGTGCTGATGATGAATATGATGGTGGAGGGGGTGGTGACGGTGGTGGTGCTGGCGGTGGTGGTGGTGGTGGTGGAGTGATGGTGGTGGTGGTAATGATGATGGTGGTGATGATGATGGTGATGGTGGTGGTGATGATCGTGATGTTGATGGTGATGGTGATGGTGGTGATGATGATGATGATTGCCGTGGTTGTGATGATGATGATGATGATGGTTGTGATGATGATGCTGATTGTGCTGATACTGATGATGATGATGATGATGATGATGATGATGCTGATGATGATGATGCTGATGCTGATGCTGATGATGATGTCGATGCTGATGTTGATGGTAGTGCTGCTGCTGCTGAGGATGATGATCATGATGCTGATGATGATAAAGATGATGCTGATGATGCTGATACTGTTGGTGCTGCTTGTGCTGCTGCTGCTGTTACTGATGTTGATGGTGATGATGCTGATGATGCTGATACTGCTGCTGCTGATGGTGATGATGCTGATACTGTTGGTGATGTTTTTTGTTGATGATGATGCTCATGATGATGATTATGTTTGATGATGATGGGGAGGACGGGAAAGAACACGAAGCCAACGATGGATGACCATAACGATGAGGACGATGATGATGATGCTGCTGCTGCTGATGATGATGATGATGATGATTACGGTGATGATGATGATGACGATGATGATGACGATGATGATGAGGATGATGACATGGTGATACTGTTAATGATGATGAGGATGATGACGATAAACATGATGCTGATGCTGCTGATGATGCTAATAATGCTTCTTTTGATTGTGGTGACGATGATGATGCCGCTGCGGATGACGACGACGATCATGACGCTGATGTTGATGATGACGATGATGCCGACGATCATGACGATGATGATGATGATGATGATGATGTTGATGATGATGGTAAGTGCTCTTAACCGTGAAGAGAGTAAGGTTAGTGTAGTGTCATAGCGTAGTGTTGAAGCCAACTGGCTATGACAGTACGCTAACCGTAGCGTAGTGTCATAGCGTAGTGTTTCAGACACCTGGGTGTGACACTACGCTACGGTCAGCGTAGTGTCACAGCGTAGTGTTGGGGACACCTGGGCGTGACACTACGCTATGACAGCACGCTACGGTTAGCGTAGTGTCATAGCGTAGTGTTGGGGACACCTGGGCGTGAGACTACGCTGTGACATCACGCTACGATTAGTTTAGTGTCATAGCGTAGTGTTTGGGGCACCTGGGCGTGACACTACGCTATGACAGTACGCTACGGTTAGCGTAGTGTCATAGCGTAGTGCTGGGGGCACCTGTGCGTGACACTCCGCTATGACACTACGCTACGGTTGAGGCGGGTGAGAAGGAATGTATTTTTTCTCGTTCCCTTTTCCTTGGGGTTTGGCTTGACTCCGCTCCGTGAGAGAGGACACTACGATACCAGTAGCGTAGTGTCATAGCGTAGTGTTGGGGACATTTGGGCGTGACACTACGCTATGACTTTACGTTACGGTGGAGGCGGGGGAGAAGGAATCGTTTTTTTCGTTCGCTTTTCTTCCGGGTTGTGCTTGACTCCGCTACGGGAGAGAGGACACTACGCTACCGTTAGCGTAGAGTCATAGCGTAGTGTTGGGGACACCTGGGCGTGACTTTACGCTATGACTTTACGCTACGGTGGAGGCGGGGGAAACGTTTTTTTTGTTTTCGTTTGCTTTTCCTCAGGGCTTTGCTTGACTCTGCTCCGTGAGAGAGGACATCACGCTACCGGCAGCGTGGTATCATAGCGTAGTGTTGGGGACACCTGGGCGTGACTTTACGCTATAACACTACGCTACGGTTGAGCAGGGGAGAAGGAATCATCTTTTTTTCGTTTGCCTTTCCTCAGGGCTTTGCGTGTCTCTGCTCCGTGAGAGAGGACACTACGCTACCGTTGGCGTAGTGTCATAGCGTAGTGTTGGGGACACCTGGGCGTGACACTACGCTATGACTTTACGCTACGGTGGAGGCGGGGGAGAAGGAATCGTTTTTTTTCGTTTGCTTTT